AAAAAATAAATAAATAAAATAAAAACAAATAGATGAAAACAAAAGTATAAAAAATAACTAGATTTGTTGTTTGCCAAAATATCTGAACTTTGCTTCTTGTGTTGAGATTTTCCTCTCTCAATAATCAAATAAGAGGAGCCGGGGAGATGGCTCAGTAGCATAAGCGCTTGCCTGGCAAGTGCAAGGGCCTGAGTTCAATCCCCAGTTTTGGGAAATAAATAAATAAATCAAATAAGAAAGAAAAAAATTTTCACTAATACAGGTCCTGGCACCACCTAAAACCAGAAGGTTTGACACTTTAGGAACGTGAACTACATTATTGTTAAGTCTCTTCAAATAATGAATCTTTAGTACCTACTCTGTTTAAAAAGGAAATAAATCTTTAATAAATTTACATCTATAATATGTTACTTAGACATTTAAGATAGGCTTATAAATTCAGTATTTAAAATAACTTTATATATCACTTTCAAACATCTGGTGGCACATTGGCTAGGCTTTAGGCACTTTCCAGGAGCGAAAATGTCTATGGCTAGTGATTTCTACCTGTGCTACTATGTAGAGCACAAGGGAAAGTTCAGACACGAGTTTCTAAAGTTTGAGTTTCAGCCAGATGGGAAGCTTAGGAATTACAAAAACAATGTTATGATCAGAAAAGAGCCATATATCCACAAAAGTGTAATGGAAGAACTGAAGGGAATTATTGATGACAGTGAAATTAAAAAAGAAGACGATGCTTTGTGGCCAGCACCTGACCGGGTTGGCTGACAGGAGCTTGAAATTGTAATTGGAGGTGAACATATTTCTTTTACCACATCAAAGGTAGGTTCTCTTATTGATGTAAATCAATCAAAAGATCCCAAAGGCCTTCTAGTATTTTATTATTTGGTACAAGACTGGAAATGTTTAGTTTTCAGTCTCATTGGATTGCAGTCCAAGATTAAACCAATTTAAATTGTACATTTGTGAAGATCCTTGTGTATTTGAGGGGTGGGGAAGGGAGGGTTTGTCATTTATAATATTAGGATTTTTATGAATGTGAAAAACTTTTTGTATGTAAACTGAGCATGGGATAATATATAAACAGACTTAATGGTTTTTCTCCTTTGGGTCTAAGTGGGTAAGACTGTCTATGTACACATTGAATTCTGTAAGTAAAATCCACTTGTTGTTGAAATTTTGCTCTAATAAAACAGTCTGTAAAGAGAAATAAAATAAATGTATAATTACTGCAAAATTTAGACACATTAGAACAGTTTTATGAGATTTTTGTAATTGCTACATTTAACCTAAGTATAAAATAGATAATTGAGTCAGTAGAAAATCAAGTGTGTATGTGTGTTTAATTAAATAAACTAATTAATTCTGTTTAGTATTGGGAGGTTTTTTTTTCTTTTTCAATCTTTTTGAGACGGGATTTTGCTGTAAAATTTAGTTTGGCTTTGAGCTCACTTTGTAGCTCAGGCTGTTCTCCAACTCAAAACGATTCTCCTGCCTCAGCCTCCCAAGTGTTGGTATTACAGGTATGCCACCATGCTCAGCTAGTATTGGAAGTTCTTGAGTGAAAGTCAGGATAAAATGTAGAGTACTTGCATTTCTTTTGTTTATGCTGTTCATTTATTTGATGGCTGAATAAAGTTAATGAGAAGTAAAGATTACATTCCCTCTAAAAGTAGGTTTAAGGAATCATATTCTAATTTATTCTGTGTGATTAAGATTAGAAATTTAAATTTCCAGTGCCTGGCAGCAAATGTCTTTATTTCACACCAAGCTAGGGAAGCAAGACTACATCCAAATAAGCTGACACTGGCACAGGGCCACAGATAGATTCTGAGGTATGTTGAATTTATAATGCTTGGGCTGGTGAGATGACTCAGTGATCTAAAGCACCTACTTAGAACAAGCTAAGCTAAGCAAAGCACAGGGACCACGGTTCAATCCCCCAGCACCACATGCCAGCCAGCCTCGCCCCCTAGTGGGCTGAGCTGGCCAAACACACAAAATAAATAAATAAATAAAATACATTAAAAAAAAATAATTTATAATGCTTTTTCAGTTTTTACTGCTTCTACAGCAGCATTAAAGTGACCAAACAGACAAATGACAAATAAGGATAGCTAAAAGTCCTTGGTTAGGGCTGCGGAGGTGGCCCAGTGGAATAAACGTTTCCCTGACAAGCGCAAGGGTCTGAGTTCAATCCCCCATTCCACCAAAAAAAAAAAGAGAAAAAGTTTTGATTATTACTTCAAGAGACAAACTTTATTGTCTTTATACTTACTAAAAGTGTTAATTTAGAAGAAATAAAAATAGACATATGTATACTTTAGGAAAATAATTCTGTAAGGTAGTATTAACAAGATTCTATTTATACATTATTAGTGTTGATTAGATAATTTTCATTCTAAAATTTTTCCAGTTCTGGACTATTGACTGCCAATTCAAACCCATATCCACCTATCTACTTTGCTCCTTTCCTCTCAAATAGTAATCCATTTTGTTTTTACTTTTGAGACAAGGTCTCATATGTCAGGCCGGTCTTGAACTCATTATGCAGGCCAGGCTGGCCTCAAAGTTGCTGCCATTCTCCTGTCTCAGCCTCCCAAGTTCTGGATTACAGGCATGTGCCACCATGCTCAGCAATGTTGATTTTTTAAAAATAATTTATATTATTTTCCTAATGAACAAGGGTCAGCCAGATAGCTCAGCATTCTAAAAGTGCCTGCTTAGGCATGCGGTTTGGTCCCATGTAAAGCCTGTTGACAAACTTTACTTCAGTGGCAAGCTAAGTGGAAGCCTTTTACATATAAAATCCAATCCCCAAGCACATATAGTGTATTGGAGCAATGTTTTCAAAAAAGTACCTTTTAAAATACTAGATAAAATTGGGTGTAAATCAAAAATTAATTCTTATGTTTTTATTTGAACAACTACAGTCTTGCCTTATAGGACTTCTAATTCCATAACTGTTCCCTTCTTCCTGCCTTAACTATATTCATTTCCATGGATACTGTCTACAAAACATGTAATCAGTACTTTGTAGCTTTAGATGGAAATATACTGAAATCACAAATACACAGAAACACTTGAAGTAACATTTAGTCAAGATGAAACTACCCATGGTTGGTAGCAACAGTCTTTAAAATGTTAGACAATAGTTGAACAGATACAACTTTCAGAATGCACTGACAACTGCAAAATATTATTATAAATGCTTGTCTAATTGTTTCTTTTAGCATGTTAGCTTTGTGTGGTGATGCATAATGATAATACCAACTACTTGGGAAGTTGAGGCAGGAGGATCATGAGTTCCTGAGCAATAAGAGAATTGCAATAAGAGAATACCCTTTCTCAAAGTAAAAAATGTGTATAAAGAGCTAGGGATGTAACTTAATGTTAACAGTTACATTACTCTATGGGAGGCCATGGGTTCAATCCCCAGGACTGGAAAAAAAAAAAAAAAGTTTTTTTAAAAGAACAAAGTAAATTAGAAAATAAAGTAGAAAATAGGGCTTAGGGAGATCTTTCTCAAGAGGGAAAGGGGTTCAAGAGACAGAGGAAGAGGAGGGGAAGAGGATGAAAAGAAGTAACCAGGATTTGTTCATACATGCACCAACTCTGCACATAGGATATAACCATTATCTCCTCCTCTTCCTCCTCTTCCTCCTCTTTCTCTTCTTTCTCTTCTTCTTCCTCCTCCTCATTTTTCTCCTCTTTCTTTTCAGGACAGGATCTTCTTTTTTTTTTTTTCCCCATAATTTTTAGGACAGGATCTTACTATGCAGTTTCAGACATGAACTCAGTTTGTGGCCCAGAGTGTTCTCCAACTCAAAGTGATCCTCCTGCCTCAGTCTCCCAAGTGTCATGTCTGACAGTTCCTTCTTCTTTGCTCCTATTTTTGAACCTGAAAATTTCTGAATTTAGAGAAAAAAAATTAATTACTAGAATTATACCTTCGCATATTTTGGTGTGGATTCAGTAATTAATAATTTTCCAAATGTACTTTCTGTAAGCCAAAATCAACTTTTTTTTTACTGTTTTTCTTTTGTTTTGTTTTTAATATGGAATGCTCCACAAATTGCATATCATCCTTTCCCAGGGGCTATGCTAATATTCTCTGTATCATTCCAATTTTAGTATACGTGCTACCAAAGGGAGCATTATTGAGGGTTTTTGTTATATTAACAGGAAGTTGACTTAACACAAGTATTGAGCATCTCGTACTCATTGGACATTGTATATTTTCAAAACATATTTTCAAACTGTCCATTTTGTTTTGTATTGTATTATATTGTATTCATTTGGGCTTTTTTGTGGCCGGGTCTCCCTCTGTAGCTCAGGCTGGTCTTGAACTCACTGTATAGCTCAGATTGGCCTCAAACTCACAGTGGTTCTCCTGCCTGTCTCCTGAATGTTGGGACTAAAGGTATACACCAACATGCCTCGTCTGCCTATTTTTGCCTTACTCTTACAAAAGTTCTTCTTGACTCCTGGATATGTGCCAGGCATATGCTTGGAAAGTATCTTCGTCCTATTTTGGTGGTATTCTTTGAAGTACAAAACTTTTAAAATTTTGATAAAATTCAGGGGTTTTTTTCTTTTGTACTTTGTGTTTTTGAAGTCATAAATAAACATTTCCTAATTCACATTAAGATTTAGTGCTGTTTTCTTTTTAGGCTTTTATAGTTTTAGCTCTTACATTTAGGTCTGTGATCTGTTTTGAGTTAATTTTATATATAATGTGAGGTAAGAATTTCACCTTAATTCTTTTGTTTGATTTTCATAACACTCATAAAACAATTAACTATATAAGGGAGGGTTTATTTTTGAAGTTTGCATTATGTTCCATTGATTATTAATATCTATATGTCAGGGTCACACTATCTTGATTACTATTGTTTTGCAATAGGTTTTACAAATGAGAAGGGTGAATTCTCCAGCTTTGTTCTTTTTAAAGATTGTTAAGACTATTCTTGGGCCCTTGCATTTTCACATGTAAATTTTAAGATCAGCTTTTCATATCTCCAAAAAGATAGCTGGAATTTGATAGACAACTTGGCAACTGTTTCCATCTTCACACTAGTCTTCTAATCTGTGAACATTTGTCTATTTTTTGACATTTGATTTCATCTTCTTTCATTTCTTTCCACAATGTTTTGTAGTTTCAGTATACAATTTTTTAACCCCTGTTCATCAAATCTATTTCTAATTATTTCTGAATTTCTATTTTTTAGCAAAAAATAGCTACATGTTCTATATATACTAGTTGAAGAAATAATTTTTAAAAACTCTTACTGTGATGAAAAATATATATAGCATACATTTACCACATTAATCATTTATAAATGTAAATAGTTCAGTATTTTGTAGCTTACATGTTTGTACACCCAGTCTCCAGAACTGTTTTCACCTTCACACACTGAAACTGTATCCATTAAATGGCAACTTGCCATCCTCCCCTCCCAGGCCCTAGCAACCTTCCTGTTATCTATCTTTGTGAATTTCACTAACCTAAATATGTCATATAAGTGGAATCATATAATAGTTAGTTTTTTAAAAAATGTTTTTTAAAAGATCTTTATTTATTTGGTACAGAGTCTTGCTACACAGCTGTGACTCCTAGTGATCCTCCTGTCTCACCCTCCCCAGCACTGGGATTATAGGCATGTACCACCATGCCTGGTTTTGGGGCCAGGATGGCACCTGGGGTTCTGGGTGAGCATGGCATGGCATGGCATTCAATACCAGGGATCAAACTTGGGACCTTGTGCTTGCTAGGCAGGCACTTAGACCATTGAGCTATCTCTCAGCCTCTACTGGCCTATTGAAAGTAGCAGTTTAGTGCTTAGTTTTCTTTTCTTCTTTTTCTTTTATTTTTTTAAAATTCATTTTATTGAGAAATAGCCATGAGACAGTTTCAAAACAGGTTAGCACGACAGTTACAATAATTAATGCATATTGGGGCTGGAGAGATGGCTCAGTGGAATAAGCGCTTCCCTGGCAATCGCAAGGGTCTGAGTTCAATCCCCGGTTCTGCCAAAAAAAAAAAAAAAGAATAATTAATGCGTATTGTCTTCATAGTAGTTATTCATAGTTCAAGATGCAGACATGTTAGCCTGTCCAAACACTATTAGTACAAATCTTTCCTCTCACTGAACTAAGAGAAGTAACTGTATATCTGGCCTAACTATTTGGGTTTTTTTTCCCATAATTTTATTGATAAATAGCAATGAGACAGTTTCAAATCAAATTGGTAGGACAGTTTCAATAATTTACACATTGCATACTTCTTTTTAATTTCTTATAACTTTTTCCCCCAATTTTGCACACATATATCTGGTAATCAATATAACTAATTTGAAGACAACATTATGCCATAGCAATAAACATTGTATTATTTTTAGTGAAATTCTGTGTCATTTCTAATGCTTTTTATTATCATTTTGTATTGTTATTTATTTATTTATTTATTTATTTGGTACAGGGTCTCGCTTCACAGATTGGACTCATAGTGACCCTACTGTTTCAGCCACCCTAGCACTAGGATTACAGATATGTGCCACCATGCCTGGTTTTGATGGCCAGATCAATGCAGTTCTGGGGCTGGCATGGCATGTGGCACCGGGGATCCCTAACCTGGGTCCTTGCACTTGCCAGGCAGGCACTTACACCACCAAGCTATCTCCCCAGCCCAATAGTTGACTTTTTGTGACTGACCCATTTACCATAACAGCTACAAGTTTATCCATATTGTAGCATTTGTCAGAATTCTCTTTTGGGCTGGGAATATGGCTCAGCAGCATAAGTACCTGCCTGGCAGGTGCAAGGTCCCAAGTTCATTCCCTAGTGCCAGGCGGTTAAAAAAAAGAAAAGAAAATCCTCCTTATAAGAGTTCATAATATTTCATTGTATGTACAGCATGTTTTGTTGACCTATTCATCTCAGAGGACATGGGTGATTTCAACCTCTTGGCTATTGTGAATAAAGCTAGGTACACAAATATATCTTTAGGATTCTACTCACAGTTGTTTTGGGGATATACCAAGAAATAGAATTGCAGTCTGGTGAGATAACTCAGCAGACTAAGCACCTGCTTAGGCAAACACAGGGACTAGGTTTGATCCCCAATGCCACATGCCGCGCCAGCCCTACCTTTGGGCAGGCTGAACCACTGACTGTGTCTGGGTGTGGTGGTGCCCATCTATAATGCCAGCACTGGGGAAGCTGAGATAGGAGAATCACTCACTGTGAGTAGGAGCTATGTAGCAAGACTCTGTAATAAATAAACAAACAAACACACCAGCAGTACAATTATCCATGCTGTCCAGCATATGTACATAACTATCTCCCCACTCCGTCTCTCCTGTCTTTTCCTTGTCTGATTTTTCTTCCCTTTGAACAGATTCTTTTCCTTTCACAGTCTCTATTGTATCTTTCAGATTTTATTTACTTTTTCAGGTTCTTACACTAATGAGATAGTATAATATTTGCATGTGCCAGCGTGATTTATTTCATTTAAGAGTATGGTCTCTAGTTGAATCCGTTTAACCATAAAAGTCTCAAATTTATCTTTATTTATACCTGAGTAATACTCCATTGTGTAAAAATACCACATTTTCTTTTTTCATTCCTCTGTGAACATTTGTGTTGCCAAGATTTAGCTATGACAAATTATACTGCTATAAACATGGGTGCACATATCACTGTGGTATGCTGTTTTCAGTTCTTCTGGAAAAATATCCAGGAGGAGAATAGCTGGGTTGAATGGGACCTCCAGTCCTAGCTTTTTGAGAAATTTCCACACTGATTTCCATAGTGGTTGCACCAGTCTACATTCCCACCAACAGTAGAGAAGCGTTCCTTTTTCCCTCTAGCCCCTTCAGCATTTGTTAATGGTTGGCTTCTTGATGGTAACCTTTTTTTTTCTGGGGTGAGATGGAATCTCATTGTTGTTTTAATTTGCATTTTTGAATGACCAATGATGTTGAATCTTTTTTATTTGCCACTTGTATTTCTTCCTCTGAAAAGTGCATATTCATGAAGGATGTTCAATTTTTGATTGGCTCTTTGAATTTTGGGGTCCTGATTTTTAAAAATTCTTTATATGTTCTAGATAGAAGACCTTTTTCAGAGGGACAGTTGGCTATAATTTTTTTCCAACTTGTGGCTTTTCATTTTACTCTGTTGATGATTTCTTTCAAGACCTAGCACCTGGGGCTGGTGAGATGGCTCAGTGGTCTAAAGCACCTATTTGGAACAAGCTTGGCAAAGCACAGGGACTGCGGTTCAATCCCCCAGCACCACATGCCAGCCAGCCCCACCCCTAGGTGGGCTGAGCTGGCCACACACACACACAAATAAATAAATGTTAAAAAAAAAAAAAAAAAGATCTAGCACTTGCCAAGAGTTATCACCCATTCCAATGATTTCTTTTGACATGCAGAAACTTTTCAAAAAGATGAGATCCTAGTTGTTGATTCTTTGGTTTTTTTGTTCATGAACTCTCTACCTACCTCTGGTTCTTTAACATTTATATGTATGTTTTCCTCCAGAAGATTTAGTGTTTCAGTTTTAATATTTAAATCTTTGATCTATTTTGACAGCAGTTGAGTGCATATTGATAAACATGAGTCTAATTTTAGCTTTTGGCCTGTGGAAAGCCAGTTTTTCCAGCAGCATTTATTAACGAGGCCAGATTTTATTTTTTACATCATTATGTTCTTTTGCTGTTTAGAATACTCAAATTCTAAACCCAGAAATTCCATTTCAGACCATTTATCCTTAAATTGTATATGTATTTTTGAAAAAATTATAAATAAGGTTACTTATTGCAGTATTGTGTATCATAGCAAAAGAATGAAAATAAATGTTTATCAGTAGAGGACAGGTTTACATGATTTTGGTACAACAGTATAAAGTTTTAAAAAGGTCTTAAAATCTCTCTCTGGGGGCCGGGGAGATAGCTCAGTGGAATAAGCACTTGCCTGGCAAGTGCAAGGACCTGAGTTCAATCCCTGGTTCCGGGGAGAAAAAAAAAA